GTGTTCAACCTCTATCTTTCTTTTTAAGCAAGCAGTATATTTGTTGAAGGTCACCAGGGTGTAAGATGACCTTGCAGAAACTTAGCAGGGTTTATTAACAGGATAAACATCTGTGCAGAAGCTGGGAACGGTCAGTTTGAAATGGGTGTTGTGCAAGAGCAGTTACTGGTAAAACAGTTACTATGAAACACCTCAGTTCTGTGGAAACTATTGTGTTGTGCAAAAGAGCTTCTGTTAATGTAACATCTTTTATGTGCAAAAGTGATCTATATGTAGATCTATATGTCAGAGCTCACTGAGGGATTCTGTGTAACTGTGAGCTCCCCACTTGCAAGTGTCTAAATTAAAAGGAAGCGTTGTTCCTTGCAGGCTGTTGTGTCTCAGTCTCCAATTTCTAACAGACTTTACATAAGTTAAGGACAGAATCTGCCGGGATTTCCTTTAATATGTCCTCACATGAACCCAAACGGTCATTCATCTATTAATAAACTTTACGACACTCCTACAGGACTTCCATTGTTCTTAACGTCGCTTTTTATTGTTTTGCGACTTGAAGGTTTGGTAAAGGAGGTTTTACTGGATGTCCAGGTGTTGACTCCCTCTGGGAGGAGCTGTTTGACTGGAAGACGTTCAGAGTTTCCCTGCAGAGGATTTCCCAGTGAGTTCACTTCAAGTGCAACAATAAAAATGACAACAACAATAATAAAAAAATAACCTTTCAACAGATTTCCTTTTGTCGTAACATAGCAGCCAGGTGCTGATAATCAAAGGCACCGATTCCTGATAATGGTAAGCCAGGGCAGTGCTATCAAACCAGGATTAATGTTTGCTGTTGCTTTGGACCATAAATATGCTTTGCAGCATAATGTTTGACCAAAAAGACATCAGCATTAATGTTCTAGGAGCAATCACTGCTGCCCATCAATCCAGGAGGATTGATCCAATAAATGCATCTGAAATCCATATTCCTAAAGAGAGAAACATTCAGAAGATGAAAGTCAAAGACTCCACATGTTTAAGTTAAACGTTAGATATTTCTCTTCATAGCAGAACAATTAGAAGAGCAGCTCCTACCAGCTGCATGCACAGAGGAGGAGGGGTGATGATGTGGGCTCATTCTGCAGCCACAGCTCCTTAGAGTCAACGCAGAGCACCTCTGTATACTGGAAAAAATAGAAATCTAGATAAGTAATTTTTTCTTAAAATAAGTACATTTATTCTTGGATTTTGCCAATAGAACAAGACAATTTACACTTAAAATAAGAAAACACAATTGCTTTGTCTTATTTCGAGTGCATATTATCTTATTTTAAGAGTAAAAACACTGATTCCATTGGGAAATCATCTCATTTGCCTACTCAAAGTAAGGCTAAATACACTTAATTTAAGAGATTTTTACTTATTTCTAGATCGTTTTTCCAGTGATGCCAATGTTCTTGAGTCCTTTTGAGGGGATTGTCAAACTGGATCTGCTACAGATCCAGTGGGCATCATTCCAGATGTGTTGCATGAAGGAGAAAATGTCACATTCACTATCTTTCCCTGATTTCTAATCTTCTCTCAGGTACAAACATATTTTAGGGCTCTGGACTAGATATAGGAGTCTTCCACAATCAATCAGTAGTTATCTAAACCTAGATTTTCATTAAATGACCTCATTTGTTGTTACTTAGAAGGATTAGTCCATTTTATTAGCCTATATAAGTAAATATTATACAACTCTGCAATTATAAGTTACATCTTTATTGGCTGGTGACAGAACTAATGGTCACTACACCTTCAGCTGGCATGTAGGTGTCCAGAAGACTATGGTTTAATTTGTTTTTTTAATTTGTCAAAAAAAACAACAACAGTCAGTGAGCTCTTTGTGGGATCAAGCTACCAGTACTATAAAAAAACATCTGGAACAGAAATTGGATGAAAGTCTAGGAATATTTTGCTGCTTGAAGCTCCTGTAACAGTCAGACTCCATGGCAGCTGCTTGGCTTTGTTTCTGCAGAAAATACAGAATGTTCAGGTCTGAATGAATCACATTAGAGTTTCACCTTTAAGTTTTTATGTTTGCTAGAGAGAGAGAGATAAGACATGGTCTAAAAGATGTGCAATAAACATGTGTTTGTATGAAAAGGAGGTTAAGCAGAACGTTGTCATGTTGGTTGACGGTGAACTTATATTAAGAATTTACATCATATGTTACACTTGCCTCCATCAGTAGTTTTTAGTGATCATTTTTAGATCAGATGATTTTTATTTATAAAATTAAGTTTATTTTATTTTTACTTCTG